AAGATTGCATCTATAATGCAATATTTCCATAATATGAATTATTCAAATTATTTCCAATAATATTTCCATAATTGGGCCAATAAAAATGCTCAGTAAGTAGGTAAAGGTGCTGGCCACCCAGTCTGATTATCTGAGTTCCACCCTTGAGACAGAAAGAGAACACACTCCTAAGAGTTGATACAGGAAGAGAACACACTCCTGAGAGTTATCCTCTAATTCCCACAAGCACACTGTGCCTTTAAGAAACAGGTACATAGGGACTGGAAAGATGACAGGTAACACAATAATTACTGTGCACTGCTGTTGTAGCGGACTCGAGTCCTGTTCCTAGAACTCAGTCCAGAGGCTCACAACTGCCTATAATTCCAGCTTCAGGAGATCCAATGCCTCAGGTCTCCTAGTACATTTGCACTCATATGCACATCCCCATACACACCCACACACACCCACACACAATTAAAAATAAATCTAATCTGGGCGGTGGTGGCGGACATGCCTTTAATCCTAGCACTACAGAGACAGAGGCAGGTGGATCTCTATGAGTTTGAGGCCAGCCTGGTCTACAGAGCAAGTTCCCAGACAGGCTCCAAAGCTATATAGAAAAACCCCGTCTCAGAAAAACCAAAATAAATGAATAAATAAATAAATAAATAAAAATAAATCTAAAAATTATATACTGGTTTCTGCTTTTGACTCACTATGGGAAACAAATTACAATGGTCACAAAATCCTGCAAAACATGATAGATCTTGATTATATATACATAATTATAAAATGTATTAAAAATTATATTTTATAATACATAATGTACATCTGTGTATATTTATTACACATGTGTGTGTATGAATAGCAATAGAACAACAGAATTGAGGAGATCACTAAATAAGAAAGGAAGGAAAGGATGCTAAGTGCCTTCTCCTCCACAAAGTAAGTGGGGACAGTATCTAAATATAATGGATCAGAAACAACTTCTAAAACCAAGTTGTTCAGCTGCCCTCCCAAAAAAGACTATTTAAATAAGCCACTAAACACTGTAAGGGACAGTCCCTTCCCTAAAAGCACTCCAGCTAAGAAACAGCGAAGACTCAGTAGTGTGTCACCATTTTACAACTCCCAGGGCAGGAAGAGATCTTGAGACAGGAGAAGAAGCACAGGGGCAAACGTCGACACCCAGATCGCTAGCCACAACGACTAATTTACAGGACATGTAGAGAAGAGAGACATACTAACAACACAGCAGGAGATGTCTACAGGACACTACACATGTCACTCAGGCCCTATAAATCATAACGGGATAGAGGAAGCTCAAAAGACAGATCGTCGAAACTCAGTATTGTCAGAATTATATTTGTGTTATGCTTGCAGACATCTTCAATAAAAAGAGGAAGAAAATGGAAGAGGGGGAATTAGGAGGGGTTGCAGGGAAGTCAAGGAAATCATAAACAGTGGAACAGAATATTGGAGCTGCTGATAGAAGGGCTGAGTTCCTATAAAAGCACCTGGAGAAGAGGTGATTCGTCCCCCTTGGGTCACGTTTTAAGATGGTCACCATGCCTCTGCCACTTTGCTACTCTAGCCTTGTATAACTTCCTTCTGTCTGTCCCACCACCCTTATTTAACAGGACAGTCTCCTTAGTGATTAGGCTACCATCATGCTAGATGAGACAGAAAGTCTCCTACATGCTTAAAGGCCCCCGCCACCTGTGAGGGATGACAGTGCAAAGTTTTAGACCCTGGGTAACCCGCATCCAACAACTTGCAAGAAAACAGAGAACTCCAGTCCTCTCGCTGACCTCAAGCAACCAGAATGAGCACCCCAGGACCTGGCAGAAGAGCTCAGCCCCAGCAGACACCTTCAGTTCAGGCAGGTGCGACACCTGGGCTCTGCAAAAGCAGTTAATCTGCGCCTGAACAGGATCTGTAAAATAATACATTCGTTTTGTTTAAAGCCACTGAGAGTGTGCTAATTAGTTATGCGGAAACAAAACCAATACCTGCGCCTTACACATGAATACATTAGATCTTAGATGACTAAAACAGGGAGACTGAGGCCGGGAGGGGCGGGGGTTATTCCAAGTTCAGGGCTAGCCTGGACTCCAGAGGAAGTACCAGGCTATACAGGGAGTTTGTCTCAAAAAGGAAGCATGCTAGGGGGTGGGGGATTGCTGCAGTAAAAACGTAAATTGTCTTAGCCACTGAAATTTAAGAGCGCCTAGAACTCATCAGAGTTGTTGGTCACATTCAGCTTCTAGCTCCACAAGTGTGGAGTAGGACCCCTGATTCTGCACCCAGGAGAAGGACTTCTGATGCCAATGCCCGACTTTCATTGGCTGTGCACACATCAGAGGTCCCTACTTATTTATCCCTATTTTTAAGTCCCCCATTAAGACGAAGAACACTCAAGAGCCTGGGCGCGATGTCTTCTTCTTCCCTCCTGCTCACCACTGAAGTCCCTTCCTTCTGTATCCGCTGGGCTGTGGCTTCTGGCATAGGCAAGTAAGTCTATGATCCACTGCCCAAAGAAGGCCCCTCCTAGTCCTGTCCCCTCAGCTGCGTAGCAGCCCCTCCTTCCTTCCGGACACCTCTGACCTTGACACGCCATGCAAGCCCCTGGCCAGACCAGAAGCATCCCCTGCGAAGCCCAGACCGGGAACAGACCTGCTGCCTGCAGAGAACGGAGGCAGGACTGCTCTGTCAGAAGCCAGAGTGCTGAGCAAGTGCAGAATCGCTCCTGGGCGAGGGCGAGCGCTCCTAGGAGACCTGGGATCTGCTCCCTCCTCAAAGTGCAAGCTTCTAAGCTAGCAGGCCGCCTTTTATGCGTGAAGAACAGTTTCGGTTTCCCTTCTGCTCCCAGAAGCAGCGTTAAGTTTCGATTTCCATTCATCACCAATCAGAGAAGCCGATTTGGGAAATGTAGCTTTTACCATCGCTCTGTAAAGTCAGAACTGTAAGACAAGGAAAACGGAGGCTTTGAGACTATTGAGGTAAATAGGGAGGGAATTCTGACAGAGAAATCTGAGGACATCCAAGCCTGGCAACAGTGCAGAGGACAATAGAAGCAGAATACCAGATGTGCTGCCTTTTCCTCCCTCAGGTGGGGGCAGGAACGAATTTGAGAATGCCTGAGTTGATTACTAAATCCTGTGACTAATCTTTTTGGGATCTTTTTGGCCAATAAACACCACTAAACAAGCTGAAAAGGGAACCTACTTAATTTTTATTTCTGCCTTAATGATTTTTCCTTTTCTTATCTCTCTCTCTCTCTCTCTCTCTCTCTCTCTCTCTCTCTCTATCTCTCTCTCTCTCTGACCTGTTGATTCCTGCCATTTAGGTTGGATAGCTCCATTGTTTAGTATCCCCTGTGACTTTGGGAAAGCTTTAAGAATGCTGATTCTAGAAAATAAGTAAGTCTTGCATTTGGGTGGTCTTGACCATGATGGGACTAGAAGCTGGGCTCTCTACTCAGTAAGGAACTGGAAGAACTCTATTCCACAAGGAAAGAGCACTGGATACAGTGAGCAATAAATTTTCAAATCATAAATATGTTCCCTAGCTCGACAAACATTCACCACTTTGAAAGTCTTTAAGGATGGGCCCCTCCCTCATGGTCAGCTTTCCACATACCTCCTGTTTCCTTCATAACAGAAAAGGAAGCATCAGCTCTGATCCTCCTTAGCATTAAAATACCACATGAAGAGGGGGAAGTATAAAGTCCATTCACAGAAGGCTATGTTCTGGTTGACAAAACATGATCTGAGTTCTTCCTCTGAGCCTGGGTGGAGATGTGAAGTTCTGATACATCCTACAGATTGGAAAATTATGTATTATAGTCTCCCTCTTAAGAGTTAATATCTTAATTAATGTCTTACTATATCTACTACCTGGCTAGAAGACCTCTTCTCAATAAAGCTGATTCACCCAAGGACATTCTAGGCAGATAGGAGGAATAATCATCTCCTTCATAAGATACTATACTTCGAAGTAGCCCGGTCCACATGCAGTTGCTCACAGATCTTTGCTTCTAAGAGTGTCTGTTTTTCTGAGTTCTAATTTAATAGGCGTTAACTTTTTCTTTTGGCCTTTCTATCTACTTGGATACTAACCAAAACCCTAAGCATACTGGCTTTCGAACTCTGGACTTTCTCACAGTTTATCTTATGGGAGCCCATAACTGAATCAGTTTCCCAGTTTGAATCTGATGTCTATTCTGAGTCAGTAGAGTTCCAGCTTGTTTGCTCCAGGCCGTGAGAAAGTCCTGACTAGCCTGCAAAGTCTCCTTGAAGGGCTGTGAGAAAGTCTTGATTAGCCCACAGGTAGGAGCACACTGTCTGCTGATGCCAGCCGGAGGTACTTTGAGATAGGGAATGAAACTGCCTGCTCCTTGATGCAAGACAGGATAGATAGTTGGTGAATGCCTGTGCTGTGCATTGTTCTACCTATGTCCTTCAAAACTGTATATAAGCTGGCTATGAAATAAACTCGGGGCTGTCCAACGTTGGCTGGCAGACCTCTCTACTCTCTTCTGTGTTCCTCGTTGTCTCTCCAATCCACACACCCTCACTCAGAAGAGTGGCAAATCTTTGTCCTCTCACTTCTCCGCCGTGCTAGTATTTACAGCTCACCTATCCTTTTGTTTTCTCTCCAATCCTAATAAAATGTTCCTTGAGCTTCCTTCTCAGTAGATCCTTAAGACTCCTTTATCAATAAGACTGAAACCCCACAAAAGGGAATCCTAAAATAGACTCCTGGTTCCCCAGTGAATGATGAAAGTCAGCCATTCAATAAAAAAGGTAGGAATGGTCAAGAAAGGGGCATGTCTTAGGTCCATCAAGCATTTATGTGTTTATGGTATTTGTTTATTTGGAAATCATGGATGGTCATTCATGCTAATATCGAGAAAGAAAAGTGATGGACTTGGAATTAATATCTGACCTTTTCTAAACAAACCTGGTTTCTTACTCACTCTTCAATAATATTGATCCGTTGAATGCTGCCCCTCCCTGCTTCCTCCAGTAGAGGTCAGTGTCCTAATTCCCTGGGATTGTGGTAACTGAAGCACTGTGCAGACTAGGCTAAAGTAAGGATGATGAGAAAGGGGGATTATCCAAGGAGGGCCAAAAGTAATCATAACCAGAGTTTTACCATGATGGACCAGGGAATCCAGGCTGGTAATCAGGATCCTGTTTTCTAAGTGAATTGGTTTACAGCACTGTTGTAGCATTTAAAGAATGAAAACAGTCTAAACTGTATCTTCTCACCACCACCAAGGTAGAGATTTCTAACATCACTCATGAAATGGTATATCATTTTCAATAATTAGAAATTTTCTGCTTCAGAAATAAATGAACCATAACAGATTTTTAAGCCACTGCAACCTATTTATAATGACACCGAAGAAGAGCATTGTTCAGTGAGATACCCCAGTGGCAGAAAAGACTATCCTCTGTTTTGAGGATTCAGTGATGTAAGTTTGAGTTGAGGTTTTCAAATAGATTCTAGAGCTGAGAATGAGGACAAGGCCCTAATTACAGAATGATCCTATGTAAATGACCACACAGAATGAATGATAGTGTGCATGTAAATAGATGAGTATATTTCACACAAACAAAACCAATGAAGTCTTTATTTCAGCAGTCATTTATATACAATTAAAATGAAGCAAAACATTAGCTATATGTTTCCTTTTAAAAATTGAATGAAAACATTCTTTTTTTATAATTAGCTTATTTATTAAGATGTACTATTTCAATAGCTAGCAATCTAATCAGTACAATCCCTTTAGGTTGATTGGGAAGAATATACTTTCAAGATACTGTAATCAATTCTTTTCTAGTTTCAATAAACTTTATATATATATATATACAGTGAAAATATTAAAATACAATATTTTGGGGTCCTACAGAGTGGAAAAACATCTTCAAACATATATGTGCAAAATTCTGCATTTTCTCACTCAATCATTAATAATTTGGAGACATAAGCATTTTTAGTCAATCATTTAAAGAAACCAAGACTTAGGCACATGAAGTAGTATGGCCCAGAGTGCTCAAAGCCAAGCCCAACAAGTTTGATGTCTTTAACTCCAAACTACTTCCTCATCCCATTTCATTGTGCATGATTTTCTGATTAAGACATAAGAATAAAATATATATAACTTGCAAAGCTTCTCTGGTGATATTTTAAGTGGTTTACATAGTTTTTCTTTTCACACGTTTTCAAACTTCTCCTGAAAGGACTTAGACAATTGTTCAAATGCTAGAACAACGTTGTCTTCTTCATTTTCACAGAGTTCACGCAAGGAGACACTACAAATAGAAGAATACATATATACATATACTATTAGTCAACTAAGTGACATTGAGTACTATTAATAAAAGACTGTCTTGCGAAGTGATGAGATAGGATTAGCAAATTATAAGGAATACTGATAAGAAACAAATTTATTAACCAAATAATGTGTGCACAAAAAAAGAAAGAAAAAGAAAACTAAGACAAGGTGTTCCATGCAGTGCCTTTATTACCCAAGGGTAATTGAAAGGCTACCAAACTCTATGTCATTTGATCCTTGCTCCCTTAGTTAGTACAACACAAATTTCTTTTCTTTTCTCTACATATGTCATGGACACATTTTTTTTCTGCTATTGTGTCCAGAATATACCATAATCCACTATGGAGAAGAAAAGCTTCCTTTCTTTCTCTAAGTAGGTGAGAAAAAAATGAAAGTGGGATGTGGCCAGTAGAATAATGGTCCTCATCTAATTCAGAGGTCCTCACCTAAATCCCCAGAAACCTATAAGTCATGTTAGATTCCAAGGCAAAGGGGAATTACCATCACAGATGATAGCTAATCTTGAACATGGATTCTGGATTCTCTATGTAGAACTGATGAAATTCTCAAAGGTGCTCATGGGTGTGAGGAAGAAGAGAACTGACATCAAAGGAGTGAAATGTAGACACTTGTTACACAATCTCAGCTCTCTCTACTGAACATCCCTGGCTATGATGCACAGCTTGCAGAAGGTTGAGAACCACTGCTATGGATGGACAAAACTATTCCCTTCTGCTCTTGTATGTCTCAAATTCACTCTGTATATAAAACATCCATATAGGCCTAATTCAGTTCTGATCAATGAAATAAAACAAAGAATTGATTAAGAATGTGATGATGAGATTTATGGTCACTTGAATATACCTGTGACAAAATAAAGAACCACTGTTAAAGTGCTGGAATGCATTTAGATTTGAGGGGTTAGTATGATGGTCATATACCTAGTTGACATTATATGGCCAATGGAGCCTAAGGATGGGTTACTCACATAAAGTGTGATAATGCTTGGGATTAACCAGGCTTTGTTGTAGAACAAAACAGGACGTGACTATGCATTGACAGTCAGACAATGCCTGAAGAAAAATATAAGTTGTAGCAAGAGACTCAAGAGCAAGCACATGTAATAACTTAGAGACCTGATGGCACCTCAGAAATATCATATATTTGACATGAGTTTACAATTGGGATCATTAAGAATATTAGGTTCTGGAGTCAGTAATACTCCTGAATAATTTTCTGATAGTGTATAGTGCCTGAGTCTGAGACTTTATGTGGATGGGCCTTAATCACCAAAATGGTATGGAATTAATGATATTACAGAACATAACCAAGAGGTTGTAGGGATGGGGAATTCCATAGACCCTCTGGGAAGTTGAAATACATGATATGTAACAGGCTCAATGACACTTTTACATACTTGGTTCATGAAAAAAACTCAACATTTTCACATTACAGTTAAATTTCTAAAAAACAGGAAAGTAATATTTCGACATGTAACATACCTGATAGATTTAATGGTAAGGGAAAAATCTTTCAACAACTGGTAAGCTGCCCCTTGATGTAACCTAAACAACAGAAAAACTGAAATTAATGACAGAATATTATTTACTACTATTGTTTACACCCATAAATTAGGGCTGTCTTCGCCATGATCACAGAGGCTGGGTTTCTGTTGTTGTTTTGTTTTGTTTTGTTTTGTTTTGTTTTGTTTTGTTTTGTTTTGTTGTACAATGAGTGGCTCACAGCTAGTCCAACTGCTGACAATAAGTGACTGCTGAGCACTAATACCTACGTGGAACATCTATGTTACCCCACCAAGGCAGGGCATCACAGAAGTGGAGACAAAAAGAACTAAGAGCTGGATCTGAGAGAAGTGCTGTGACATGCTGTCTTCTGGGCATGCTGTGACTCATGAACTCATAGAAGCTAAGGTCTCCTGCACAGGGTCTGCACAAGATTGGAACCATTAACATTCAGTCATGCAGAAAAGGTTCATAAAAAAACTAGTTTCCCAAGGGATGCACAGGGCCCTATGAACTGAAGAAGGGAGAATCATTTTTCTTCAGTATTCTAGTCACTAATGAGGTTCCCTGTGCTCCACATTCATGAAGGCAGCCCTCTAAAACTCAGTGGGTTCCAAAATGAAAGCAAAAAAAAAAAAAAATGCAAAAACTCACAAGTGAGAGGATGATTTGATAGGGTCAAGGGGTCCAATCGGGAAGAGATACAAGAATGTGGGAGGGAATGTAGTCATATTGTTTTATATACAATTATGAGATTATCAATGAATAAGTTTTAAAAACAAACAAAAATATTATCTGCTAATGCAATAGCTATTTAATTCACAATGATAAATTGGGTTTAATAAAGAATAATGGCAGTTTTCTTCCTTGACTGTCCAACTTTTGTGGCCAAAACACTGTGTCCACACCAACTGTGTGCAGAGTGACCTAAATAATGCTTGGTCCTGCTTACACTTACAGAAATGGCTTCCCTCACAATGAGCTAAATTAACTCTCTCAGGACCAGATAGGTAAACTAGATACTTTATATTCTCTCAGGCATTAAGCGATACCAGATGGCTATTTGCCATTATTTTTCAAATACCAAATGATGCCTAAGTAGAACTGTAATATAAAATATATTGAATATTCACAAAGATACATTTAGACTACATATTTAGGTCAAGTGAGTTGACCTAAAGGCCAAATTTTTCTGATAAACTAGAAATAAAAATAGTATAGAGTATGTCATCATCTTTGCCATCAGTCTGGAAAGGAAAATCTAATATGCTTGGCAGGGCTAACCATTTCTTGGAACTTTCAGGAGAGAACATACCTATTGTCCTGGTCTAACCCCACAAGGGATCCATGCTTATAAAAGTCCAGAGCATAGGCGTTAAGTGGCATTTTTCTTCCTCTACTATCCAGTCTATGTGGCCACAGAACTGGGACTTGATTGTGATTGATACCAATTGTGTGCAGAATGACCTAAAGAAATAGATTTTTTTAGATGGTTATTCACAAGGAGAGAAGGGTTGCAACTTATAACTTGTAGTCATTTCATATTCATCCACGCTTTTCAAGAACACTCTGTTGGTAGAAGAGCAGGGGCCTTCTGTGCACACTGAGACAGTCCATCCTAGAGCATGGCTTAGCTCCATCTGTGAAGAGGATTATCCTCACAGCATGCTGATGGCAAGTCCACCAGACTAGGAAAGAAAAGTTAATGGAAAAACTTTGAGTCTCCTTAACAATTCAGAGAATACCTTTGCAAATAGAGTTTCAGAGAACTGGAGGCCTACATGTCACAAGAGACTATTCAACCGAACAAGTATAATGGTCTTCAGAATCAACAGCCAGAATAACAAGTAGAGAGAGGATAGAACAAAAACAATTAAAAAAGGAAGAAAGTAAATAAGTAGCTTTTCTGTACCTATTTGTTTTGCAAACATTGCCTCATGTGACCAACAGGAATTCTGATATAGGGCTAGTGATACTGTAAACAGGCCCAACTACATTCAACAGTGTAGTTATTTGTTTTTTCTTACTCTTTATTCTTTGCTCCTTGGGGCCCACCACTCAGCACCCAAATAAATCACACAGAGACTTATTCTTACTTATGAATGCCCAGCCTTAGCTTGACTTATTTCTAGCCAGCTTTTCCTAACTTAAATTATTCCATCTATCTTTTGCCTCTGGGCCTTTATCTTTCTCTATTTCTGCATACCTTTCTTTACTTCTTACTCCATGGCTTGATGCATAGCTGAGTGAATGGACCCTAGAGTGTAGCTAGAGTTTTCCTGCCTTGCCAACAGTTAGGACAAATCTCTGTAACCCGCCAGTCCCACAGCCGCTCAGACCTAATGAAGTAACACAGAGACTTATATTGCTTACAAACTGTATGGCCGTGGCAGGCTTCTTGCTAACTGTTCTTATAGCTTAAA